TTATTTTATCAAATGTGTTTAACTATTAATATTGAATGTCAATTCTTGAATTTTTTAAAGTAGTCACACGTTTAAACATAGAATAAAACTTTTAGATTTTTAAATCTTTTAATTTAATTGCTAACATTAAAATCAAGCCTTAGACTTTAAGTTCTTCAGTTTTTAGCTTTAGTCATTAGATTGATCCTTAGTTTAAGTTCTTTAATTAGAAATTAATTAAGTTTAGAATTATCCTTTTAGGATTGGTTTCTTTAATAATATTAATTAGAAATAAATAAATAAATTCATTAAATGATTAAAATAGAATATCTATTTATTTATAAATACCGAAGGGAATGATCTCAAAATAAATAAGTATTCTATCGGTGGTCACTTTAAAAGTTAAATAGGTTCATTAATTAAAATAAAAGGGTGGAAGTTTGTTCTTACCTTTAAATTACTAAGGACACGTTGTTTTATTAACATCAAAGGCTTGGTCTTCGTTCTTTAAATTAATGAAAATCCTTATTATTTTAAATAATAATTTGACTAGATTGTCACCTTTAATTTTCTTTTAATTTTATTATTTTAAATGATAAATAATTGCCTTAATTTTGATTAGGAGTTAGTTTCTTCTTTAATTGGAAATTGATAAATGTTTGACTCTATAAAATTCTCTAATTAGATTAAGTATTCTTATTTTAGGGAATAAAAAGATCATTAATTAATTAAATATTCAAATTTCTTAATTTTCAATATAGGTACAAATTCGTAATCGAAGGTACCAATTTCTTTACCCAAACGTAATTGACTTTCGCACCCATAATCTTTGAATTGCATACCAAATCACGTATTTGTTATGTATTTATTTATTTATTTAAAATGACGTATCCCATGTTTTCAACCTACCTAATCTCAAAGGTTGATGACGACTCCAAACGTTTCAAATCTTTTCTAAAATTTCGATTCTTAATTTCAATTTCTAAACTTATTCTTAATACGCTTCGAAAAGTCGTCATTACAAATCCTTTATTATTCTTATATGATTCGAGTCAAATTTGAAAACTCAAATTTTTTTAAAAGTTTAACTTTAAATTATTTTCAATCTTAAATAATCTAACAATAATTATTTAAATTTTGAATCTGAAAATAATGGAGTTCAAAACACATACAAATGAGTTCGATGGCCCATTTGGTTTGGCATTGACAGACTTCCATTGACAATGGTTGATTAGGATTCAAATGCAACACTATAATGAACTATAGAAAACAGAAAAACGACCTTTAAAAAAATTTAGATTGATTGAAATAATATAAGTATTTTATATAATTTTGCATTTTGTAAATTTTAGAATGATTTGAAAACATATGCATTAACAACGGACATGATCTTCTTGATCATCCTTTGCAGAGGTGATGGAGTTAGGCATCATACAGGCTCGAGACATCAAGAAAATATTGTTGAAAGAAGTTCACCGAAAGTACAAATACCTAAGCCATTTGGTTGATTCGACCGTAGTACTAAGTTTCATGGATGCATTCTCTATTTATAACTAAAGACAGATGAACCGGAGGGATCAAGAGAAGAAATCCTTCGAAATTGAGGATGGGTTATTCTGTTACAAGGTAATGCTATTTTGATCGAAGAATACTGGAGCTATCAATCAAGATTTTTAAAGAACATATAGGTTAGAGTATAGAAGTATATGTTGATGACATGATTATGAGAAGTATTTCAATGGATCATCGCATATTAGATCTAAATGAAGTTTTCCACAAGTATAAGACGAGAAACCCATCAAAAATGGATGTTTGGAGTAAGCGTTGGGAAATTTCTCATATCAAATAGAGGAATTAAAGCTAACATGAATAAAATAGTGTAATCATAGAGATGAAACCTTCCTCATAAGGGAGGTCTAACAGTTGACAGATATAGTAGTGGTGTTAAGTATATTTTTTTATAAAAATAGCGAATAAATTCCTCTTTCTTTAAAACTCTATGAGAGATTTTTTTTTAATGGATCCTAGAGTGTCAACATTTTTTGTTGTTGTTGAGGATTTGAGACAATGATAGTTGTTTTGGTTAAGAAAATAAGGGAGACCCAACAACCAATATATTATGTCAGTATAATCTTGTAAAAATAGTTAAGTATACTTGAATGGAAAAATAGTTTTTCTTTAGTCATAATTGGAAGGAAATTGCACAATTACTTTCAAGCCATCCATGATATTGTCTTGACAAATCAACTAGTCAAAGAGGAGTTACATAAGATTAACTCTTCCAGAATAATGGTCAAATAAAGTATAAAACTCAACGAGTTTATAATTAATTCATTTCAAGAACGAAAATAAAACTCAAGTATTGATAGATATAAGTAAATAGTTACAAAATCGTCACGATACCCTTAATTATCGTTAAGGGAAGATATATCTTGTTAATTTAATGATTAATATCCCTTAACGACTGTCAATATCTTCATGATCATTTTGTAATCATTTAAAAATTATAGTGATGATTTTATGATTTTTAAAAGTTTAATGACAAACAATTGTTTGAACAAAGTTTATTGACCTATGATATACTTATCCCTGTTAAAAAAGTAGGATTAAAACGAGATGGACAATACAGTCTCATCTCGCGCGGAGCTCCGGAAAGCGACCATAAATGATAAGAAAACGTCCAAACGACAGGAGCATCAACCGCCAGCAACGTTCATCAACGACCTTTTGGTCACCATGCGCGAACATCCGATCCTTGAAGCAAATCCATGGTTTCCTCATCACCAAAGGCTTCAACTCCAACCCATCAGCCTTACGGGAGCTCATTTTCAAGGCCGCTATGGGAATTTCAGGTGCTCTGAACTATGCTCATCAAATGTTCGACAGAATTTCTGAACCAGATACTTTCATGTGGAATACAATTATAAGAGGCTCAGCTCAAAGCCAAAATCCATTAAAAGCCATTTTAAGATATACCCAGATGGCAAAATGCGACGTTCAACCGGATGGCTTTACCTTTCCTTTTGTTCTTAAGCTTGTACTAAGCTTCGTTGGAGGAAAATGGGGTTTGGGATTCAAGGGAAGGCCTTGAAAATGGGTTTATGGAGAATAGTTTTTTAAGGAACACACTTATTTATTTTCATGCTAATTGTGGTGATCTGAATGTTGCAAGTGAGCTTTTTGATGATTCGGCAAAAAAGGATGTTGTTCCTTGGTCAGCTTTGACTTCGGGGTATGCAAAAAGAGGGGAGCTTGATGTGGCAAGAAGGTATTTTGATGAGATGCCCGTGAAAGATTTGGTTTCTTGGAATGTTATGATTACGGCGTACGCAAAAAGAGGTGAAATGGAGAGTGCAAGGAAGCTTTTAACGAGGTTCCAACGAAGGATGTTGTGACCTGGAATGCTATGATTGCAGGGTATGTTCTTTCCCGGGACTGTAAGAAGGCATTAGAGATGTTTGAAGAGATGAAGAACACCAGGGAGAGGCCGGATGAGGTTACCATGTTGAGTTTGTTGAATGCTTGTGCGGATTTGGGGGATTTGCAAGTTGGGATAAAGATACATTGGTCTCTTTCGGAGATGATGTCAAGCGACGGCTTTAACGTTTTACTTGGGAATGCACTTATAGACATGTATGCAAAATGTGGAAGCATCGAGAGGGCGCTAAAGGTTTTCCTAGAGATGAGAGAAAAAGATGTGTCAACATGGAACTCAGTAATAGTAGGGCTGGCTTTTCATGGCCATGCTGAGGAATCAATCAATTTGTTTACCAAGATGAGGAGGTCGAAAGTCAGGCCAAATGAGATCACCTTTGTTGGAGTCTTAGTTGCTTGCAGTCATGCTGGGAAAGTCGATGAGGGTCGTCAATGTTTCAAGCTCATGAGAGATGGCTATGGTATCGAGCCAAATATTAGGCATTACGGGTGTATGGTGGATATGCTAGGGCGTGCGGGGCTATTGGATGAAGCATTCAAGTTCATAGACTCGATGGTGGTCGAACCGAATGCCATCATTTGGAGGACTCTGCTTGGGGCTTGTAGAATTCATGGAAATGCTGAATTGGGAAGGCGTGCAAATGCAAGACTACTCGATATGAGACGGGACGAGAGCGGAAACTATGTGTTACTTTCAAATATATATGCTTCTAAAGGTGAGTGGGATCGAGCCGAGAAGCTAAGGAAGATGATGGATGACACCGGGGTGAGGAAAGAGGCTGGTTACAGCCTTATTGAAGCTGAAGAAAAGGTTCTCATGAATTTTTTATTTGATTCAAAATCCAACATAAATTTAAGACCAAAGAATTTTGTGCCATGATTGGATGAGTAACCGGTCGACTGAATTAGGATAAAACCAAAAAGTAATGTGAACTGTTGAAAAATCGAAAATCAGTATAATAGTTTCTTATATTTTATTATTTTTCTGAATTTTAGTCCAATTATTTTAAATCAATTGAGCCGACTCAACTGGTTGTATTAAAAATGATGGGTCTAAATGATTCCACCATCGGTCTAAATTTACAACACTGATTGTAGGTAGACATGTTCAAGAGTCAAGTTATCCACTCAATCTTGAAGATCCGTTTCAATTTAAAGGGATTTAGACAAAAATATATGTTCGAAAAATAAGCTGAGCTCAAATTTTAACATTTGAGCCTCGAGTTTGATCTTACTCATTTTTATGGTTTTAATATTTATTAATATACTATATAATATACGTCATATAAAAATTAATTTTATAATAATAAATAATACTATAATATGAGTATTAAAAAATATATTAAGATTATGTATAACAAATAATTTTTAATAAAATGAAAATATATTAAATTATTTAATATAAACAAAAATGTAATAACTATTTTTTTAAAAATATTATAAACGGGTTAAACGGATTCAAATTAATGAATATATTTAAAGAAAATTTAAGACCTACTATATATTAAATTTAAAAAATGTTAGTTCCATATATAAACCTGGTCCAACCATGAACACCCATTTGTGGGGGTGGTTGAACAAAATTATAATTTAAAACAGAGAAGGAAACCTCCCAAAAAAGGGTTGACTTAATTTTCTCAAAGTCTTAAAACCCAGTCGGGGTTGGGAAGGGTACCCAGAAAGCTTTGACTAATTGATCAGTTCCATCAAATTCTTGGATCTTCAGCCATAGAAAAAACAAAATGAATCAAAACATGAAGTCTTTGTTGATCGGATTAGCAGGAGCAGCAATTACTTTATCAGCGTATTCACAGACTTTGGTGTCCCCAACTCAGTGCATCACTGTTGGCCTCTTCGTTCTAATGTTTGGGTTGCTAGTCAGGGAAGGTCTTATTTCTCTCTAATCTTTTCTTCTTCTCTTTTCTAAGATTCGGAATTCCAGACTTGCAGTTTACTTGTTTCAATATTATGATCTTGTTCGTTCTTCTGCTTACTAGACTCAGATTTATATATATGTATGTCATCTGGTTTTCCCATATGTTGTAATCCTCTATTTGTTGCTCTCTTCATCATATGTTTTTGCTAGTTTATAACATGAAAGATCTTTGATAGCTTTTCATATGGTAAATGAAAGACATTTGGGTTAATTTTACATGCACTTCCATCCATCCATCCATACATACATACATACATACATACAGACACACATACAGACATACACACAGACACACAGACACACAGACGCGCGCACGCGCGCACACATACAAATCCACTGTTAGTTGTTGATGATAAGATGATTATGTGATTTTTTATTAGTATTATTTAATTACATAATCAAAGTCATTAGAAAGATCAATCAATTATGTCACTTAATAATAAATTTACATGTCATTCTATGCTTCAAGCTATTTGGAAATCCCATGTTGATCATATTAATGATAACAATGTTATTAATTTGGATCTACTAATAGTATTATAAAAAAATAGATTTGATTTTTAAAGTTGTTTTTTTAATATTGTGTCACATGCCAACCACTTATTGATCTGGATTTTTTAAAGGTCAATGATGAAATTAAAAAATAATGAACGTGTGAGGACTAATCTTGCTATTATACCTTAAGAAAATGAATAATTTTTTAAAATCATTTATCAAATTATGATTTGATTGTATATATTATCTCAGATTCACAAAAGTGGCCAAAATCATCGACAGTGGAATATTTAATGTATGAGATTGAAATAAAAATGATTTGTATGATATTAAGAAATTCGATATAGTACATATACCAATTAAACAATTAAAGGAAAACTAAACTGAAACTTATAAGGATAATTAAATTACCAGACAAAAAATTCAAGTAACAAGTAGAAAAAGAACATACTTTAAGGACCAAACTATGGAATAAAGCATAAAAATTGTTGCACAATACAAGATACTAACTAATATATTGCAAAAATTCAGTGTTCTCCCTTTCATACTTGGATGTTTCAAGTTTGAGTAATATTCAAATTCGATAATCATATTTATCATACACACGGATTTAAGAAAATGCATGAGATATGAATATTGATGTTGAAATTCGATAATATTCAAATTTATATTTTTTAAAATCCACTTTACCTTTAGGGACAATTGATAAAGTGTACTTGGATGTTATTTGATAAATTTAGAAAAGTAAATAATGAGAATAATTTATTTAGCAGGAATTATGGAAAAAAGCTCGTTTGAACATAAGCGATATCCATCATTCACGTTCAAATTTAAGAAAAAAGTGAAATTGATTGCATGTAAAATGACCCTTTTACCTTCCAACGTAATTCTGGAGTAATTCAACAATCACGAAGACAATAGCAAAGCCTGAGGAGCGGTAATCTCTGGTATGTTCATCATAAATCTAGCATGGAAAACAAACATGTGTCTTTAACAATAATTGGCCATAGAAGAATGATACCAATTCACCCAATAGTCTAAAGCAATCCACTCATAGAGATGAAAGAGAGAATGATATAGAAAATCTTATTTATTTCAAACAACGGCAATGAGAAGTAGAAGAACAAGCAGCAGGTTTGACAAAAACACTCTTTCGGCTGCAAACGGATGATTGGGCTTATAAATAGGGGTTTTTTTATCAGCTCTATGTCGCAGTGATGGCATTGGCAATGAGAAAGTTTTAAAAGAAGGCAACTGTAGAACTGAGTGGTAAGCTTCTACGTGTTCTTTCACCATTAGAGTATCGGAAAGAAGTATGGGGCTAACATGTGACTTGTGAATGGCCGATTGTTAATCACCGATGTTTAGCCCTATGTCATTTTTCCATCACAATCCGAAGCGATTGTGGTATCAGTTCGCTTCGATTTTTTTATTCTTTAGTTTTTTTTTTAAATAAAGTTTAGTTTGATTCTAAAAAATTGGTATAGTTTAATTTAATATTAATTTAGTTTCAGGGTTTTATTCCTGCAGTATATTTAAATTGATATTTTTTTATTTTGTACTTTGATCAATATTGATGATACGATTCTAACGTGATAATTTATTATATTAATGTATTGATTAACAATATTAACATGACAATTTACGTGGGTCAACGATGGCCATGTTATATTTTTTCCCTTAACCCTCTTTTGGGGTATTTTTTTTATTAGAATTCTACTTTTGATTTCGTAAATTTAAGTTTTGAAGGTTGATATCGAATTAAATATGATCAAAGTATATTTTTTATCATGGGTTTCGAGACGGTATCAATATTAATGGAACTCTTTTAAAATTAAATTGGCTAGAGCAAAAGTATCAAAATTTCAAAACAAGATTAAAACGATCACAAGTCAATTTTAATCGACTCGCATCTATCCTTATGCATCTTACTTTGAACATGAAGCCTGGAATCATGAATGGCAAACGATTGTGGGGCACATGCTAAACTGATTTTTTTAGTAATTTAGGGGCTGCTTATTTACTTCAGAATGATTAAGCGTTGAATGATGCAAATACTGAATGATTCAGAGGCGTTGTATTAATTAGCTCTGAATGTTGTAGACACTAATTTTCGTCCATATTTTTTATTATTATTTTATACATATATACCTATATATATATTATATGGTTTGCAAAACGGTTTTGAATATATATATAAATATAGTTTTTTAAAAAGAAAACATTTTGAAAATATGGGTAATATATAGTTTTTAAAATATTTTTTGAAAACTATATAACATATAGTTTTAAACATTTTAGAAAATATTATAACATATAGTTTTAAAATCATTTTAAAAACTTATATAATATATAGTTTTAAAAACATTTTGAATAAATTATTATATAGTTTTAAAAACGTTTTTTAAAAAACTTATATAATTTTAAAACATTTTGAAAACTATATAATATAGTTTTGAAAACTTTTTTAAATATAAATATAGTTTAAAAATATTTTGAAATATAGTATTATATAATTTATATTATATCAGTATTATTATTATTTATTTTCTTTTATTATTTCTTTTTATGTTTTTTTTAGGGTCCAAACAGTCCAATAAGTCTCGAGGGCCTGATCCAGCCCAGAGCTCAGATTAGGGTTTCCAACGTATACTCATCCAAGCAGAGCAGCGCTGTGCAGAGGAGGTCAAGGGTCAAGTTACAAACGCGCGAGATTTCCGGCCGAGATCCCCGGGACTGACCCATCTCGGGGTGGCCGGTCACAACGGCCACGAACAAGCCCCGTATTTCGGAGGTCACAAACAGCCGGTGATGGTATAAATATCCCACCACCCATCGACCAGAGAGGGGGACAGCCACGCAAATCTCAGAAGCATAAACACAGTAAACCAAATAACCAAAACAAGATCAAGGAGAACCACAACGGATCAACAGTAAACCAAGAGTTCAAACCAACAACAAGTAAAAACTAAAGCCAACAGTACATCAGAGTCACAAAAACCAGAAACCAGAAGACATCAAAAACCCATCAAACCACAACTACCAAATACATCCAAGATACAAAGCAAATATATCAAAGAAAGGATCGAAACTCTTGGCGCGAGGAAAAGCACCACCGTGAGGAACGAAAAACGGGATACGAAGGGTTTTAAGGGTAAAAATCGAATATTTACGCCTAGATCTACGCCGGTAGGGGCAGTTTTGTGTTTTTGAGTCACATATTTAGGTTACGGGGTGGAGAGGAGTATTTGGAGGGGGGCGGCCGTCGGCGGTGTGGACAGCGTCTGACGGTGGCCGGAAATCGCCTGGGTGGAGGTTTTCTCTCGTTTGAGAGAGATGAGTTTCTGAGGAAATGAGGAAAATGAAAGGGAAAGGGTCTTTTGGCCCATTATATACGGAGGACCATTTTGCAAATAGCTTATTCTTAAATTCTTTCCGCCGTCCCTGGAACTTTGAATCGCTTTGCAATTCGGTCACTACCTGTAAATTTGCCTCCGAATTTCCAATTTAATCAATTTAATCCCTATCTATTTATTTTTTTGTATTTTGTGATTTGGTCCCCTAACTTTTTATTTGTTCTTTTGCAGTCCATTTTCTAACTCATTAAGTTCAATTTGTTCCAATTTGATCCTAAGTTTTTATATTTTTTTTACCTATTTTATTTATTTTTTATTGTTAGCCTTGTTTGAGTAATTTTTTTTTTATCTAACATATTTTGTTTCAGCTGTACTTCCAACCAATCAAAAGGTAAGTATTCGAATCGATTTTTAAATTCAATTTAAATTCTTAATTTTTCGTAATAAAAGACAACCGACAAATTAATTGGTACCGAAAGGGCGGTTCAAGGGTGCTAATCCTTCCTCGACCGTAACCGACTCCCGAACCCGACACGTTTAGGTACAACGCAGATCAGGTAAGATGGTGTCCGACCCACCTAAATTTGTTTTAAAGTGGTCGGTGGCGACTCCAACCCAATTATTCAAGTCGAAGCCAATTCCCGGGGCCCAACCGGAAGACGGTTCCGACAGCTTGGCGACTCTGCTGGGGACAGGTAAGTGAGTCAGGCCAGAATTAATTTCTGGTTGTCTTTTTATGCGAAAATTGTAAATTTAAATTTTAATTTATTTATTCAGTTCCGATTATTACCTTTGATTCTTTTTCAAATAAATAGTTGTACTAATATTTTTTCAATGATTCAGATTTTTGAAAAGTTTCTATCTCAGGCTCTATACCCGAGCTCCGAACCCTTTTAAGTGGGGGCGAAAGCGACGCCTTCGTGTGAATTTATTCACCGTATGGGCCTAGCAAGTAACCTTCGGGATTCATATACCTTATGCCTTCGTGTGAATTTATTCTCCGTATGGGCATAAGGGAAGTGTCCTCTCGAGTTTAACTTAGTCCACACAAGCTTGTAATGAGCTTAGGACTAAGGGTCTGGCAAGCCCAAGGGGGCACCGGCAAGGAGAACTCGAGTACCTTTTTAGAACCTAAACCGGGAGAGTACAGGGAATTAGAGCCCACCCGAAACCTCATTCCAAACCCTAGGCTGTTTTATTCCTGCTTTATTTTTTGTTCAAGCATGCGAACTAGACAAACATGCGGCTAGGATTTGTTTGAAATTAGCATGCGGGATAGAAATCATGTCTGCGTAGGAATATTAAGCATGTTCGGGTAGATATCATGTGGGGTAGGATTTTTTTTTTCATTTTTATTATTGTTTTGATTTACCTCACTAACTCTTTTATTTTTTGTCTTCTTTTATTATGTTTTATCATTCGCATCATTTAAAACGGGGTGTTGATCCACCAAAAATGTGTTTGTTAAACGTAAATAATCTGCATTAATGGGCAAAGGGGTTATAATACAAAGAGATAAAAAGCTCAGAAGTCCAACCGTGATCAAAGAATACTCAAAGGCAAAGTTGCAGGGGCAATATGAGGAAAAGGTCACTGACTCGGTCGCTCCTTTCGAAAATACAAGAACAAGATAGTGAAATACTAGCTGAGCTAGATGCCATTACTGATGAATTCAAGAAGCAAGCTTTGGATAGTTTCTCTCGATGGAGGGCTCCAATGACACTTTCGTTAGAAACAAGCTCGGTAGAAAGTGAAAGTCGAAGATGCAGTCCTTCAAGATCTTTTTTGGGGCAAGCATCTCATTATTTGCACATTTTAGCCAAAGGAGCCGGAATGGTTCGACAGGATATTCAACTAGTGGAAAAGACGAATCAACTTGTCAGAAGCTGTACAGGATTCGTACCATCAAAAAGAGTTTTTTGTCTCTTCAGACGTAACACTTTTGTCACCAATAAGGGTTATTCAGAATAACAGGCACATTTTTTTTGGATCAATGCCTCGAACATTTCATGCATCATATATTTAGACATTTTACATTTTTTATTTTCTTTGCATCTTATTATTTTCTCTTCATTCACATTAACTAACATAAACATGTCTCATCAAAGGGAGCAAATACTGGATACACCGCCTCAAGTATTGGACACACCCCATCCACATAACACTCGTTTGAAAAAGAAGAGGAT